TGGCCACGGGTCCTGCAGGAGGCTCCTCCCCAGCGCTGTGTGCGTGTCCGCGGTGTCTGCCATTTCCCGGGAACGTCTGCGCCGCGCCGGCCGCGGGATCTGGTGCCCACGTTTCCTGAAAGACAAACGCAAGGGGAACTGGTGGAGGCTGCTGGGCCTCCGGCCTCCGGCCCTCCTTGTGCCAGTGTCTGACCTTAGCTGACCACCCAGAGGCTGTCACACCTCTGGATGAGAAAGGGCAGTGAGCGGCAGCGTCCGTGCAGGCGGAGAACCTTCCGGAAGGCTGTGGGCATCGTATGTGGTATCGGAGGGATGGGCTGACAGGCTGCACCCTGGTTTGTGGGATCTGAGCAGCTTTCAGAGTCCGATCGAGAAGAGGCCACTGGAAGCGAAAGGGCTGTTCTCTCCTCCTGAGTCCACACAGGAGGCCTGGGGCCCCTGCCCTCGGGCCGCCCCCGGGGGAACTTCAGTGAGCCGGGGAGCCGGGTCCTCAGTCAGGCCTCCCTCTCCGGGCCTGGGAGACCCCTGGTTTCACAGGAGGTTAACGAGACACGTGGAGGTGGCTTTTCATTTTCTCTTCATTGTGACATTTTTTCTCCCCAATTGTTTATTGATTTTTAGAGAGAGAGGAAGGGAGAGGGAGAGAAAGAGAGAGAAACATTGATGTGAGAGTGAAACAATGATCGGCTGCCTCCTGCGAGCCCTCTACTGGAGATTGAGCCAGAAACTCTGGCACGTGCCCTGAGGGGCAACCCCTCCAGGCATGGACGCCCCCCTCCCCACCCCCGCCTAGCTGCCAGGGCTGCTGTGAAATTCCCCAGCGGGATCGCTTCCCGGTTGCTTCTCTGCTGCTCTGTGGCCAACAGGCCCAGGGCCTCTCTCATCACCTCGTACGGCCATTGTCATCTCATCTCCTGGGAGGGCATTGCCAGGCGCTGCCCGCGCCACGGGAGTCGGATCTGGGAAGGGTCGGAAGAACCGAAAATCGCTGGAGGGTTAGGAAGCCCGTTGTTCTGTCACAGCAGACACACCCCGCCTTGCGGGCCGGGCATCGCTCCCCTCGTCCGCCCCGAGGCCACAGCAGCCATCAGGCCTCTGCTCAACGCTGGGTGGGCCCTCCTGTCCCCTGTCCCCTTCCCAAAACTCAAACTGGCTTCCAGACCTCGGTTGTTCGTTGAGAATCTAAACTAAACTTCCTGTATGGCTGACAGTCTCCTTTTCATCCTTTGTAAAAGGTTCATTCTCGACATAGTGGGGTTTATGAATCAGTTCTTGGAAGAAAGCAAAACTCCTGAGCTAAACACACACACACACACCCGCACACGCCCCCCTCAGGTGGGGCCGCAGGTGGGCGTGGCTGCCGTCTTCCTTCCTCTGGGGCGGGGCTGACCTTGAACCAGCACCTCGGGCTACTTCCTTCCTCTTTCTGTTCCTCCTGGATCCCATCCCGGGTGCTGACCCAGCACAGGCCCCCTCCCCTCCCCCTTCC